GAGAGAAAAACAGTATTTACCTCCAGTACAAATGGAGTGTTGTGAAGCAAAAGCATGTGAAGAGAACTAAATTAATAAAAGAAAGATGCCAGAGATGGCACCTACAGTGGGAAGAGTTTGCCACTCACCACTGTCTTACAGTACAAGGCACTGGAAATGAAAATGGTAGTTATATTAGAGAGCAGAATAAGAGATTGAAGGACTGTTTTTTTCCCATGCTTCTGGGCTTTGCTGGTTGCCGCATGGGGCTGGGAAGGAATTTTTCCCCTCTCCGGTTCCTACAGGCATCGGGGTTCTTTTTTTTCACCTTCCTCAGAAGCACAGGGTGTTGGCTGTCACCAAGGCTGGGGATCTTGGAGTGTGCTGATGCTTCTTCTGGGATTAAAATACCTGAAGGTTCCTGGTTACAGAGTCTTGCCCCTCTGCTGATGGTCAGACCAGCTGCCACACTTGGGATCAGGAAGGAATTTTACCTCACAGTCAAACTGATGTCAACTGGGAGGCGGGGTTGGGGGGCAAGGAAGTTTGCTTTCTCTGCAGTGGGGAGGCATAGTCCTCTCCCTTGGATCTCTCACATATATTTTAACAACTACTTTTTAATCTTTGAAGTGGCAGGACATTAACAGCGCCCTCACCCCGCTTGCTTTATATGTGGCGGGTCAGGGTATTGATGGTGTTTTGGGACAACGCTTAGTAGCTGTAAGACAGAATTGTTTGTGTAGTTTTAGACAAGCCCTTGTTTAGATAGGGATGATCCTGCTTTGGGTAGGGGGTTGGACTAGATCTGTCGTTCTCAACCTTTTTTGTACCAGGACTCAGTGGTAAACATTGATGGCCAGTCCTGGCCCAGTAAATAGTTTAAGTAGAAAACAGCCCCTTGGCCTGGCTGGTGCCCCTCACTCCTGACCTGCTGTCCCCCACTCCAGCCCCCCAGTGTATGGGGTAGGGGGTGGGTGTGTGGGGCAAGGGGCAGGAGGGGCAAGCAGCCCCTGGTAGGCTGGAACTCTGCCAGCCTGCAAGGGAAAAGTCATGGTTTTCCACATTTTTCTCCTTTAAAGGAGAATCCATATTTAAAGTTTTTAAAATAATTTTAAAAGTTTGTTTGCAACCCTTTCATATATTCTTGTGACCCATTTTTTGGGTCACGACCCATGGGTTGAGAAAGTAGATGACCTCCTGAGGGCCCTTCCAGCCCTATTTTCCTGTCGTTCTATGACCACTAATGAGCTTGTCAGAGTAGGAAAAGCTCATGGAGCAAAAGATGAAGAATGACTGGCAGTGACTAACAGACCAGGAGAATACCCACCTACTTGCTGGACAGGCTAGACCGTGATGCAATCATTAATGTACAGGTAATGAGGTTACTTATTTCAACCTATTACAATACAGATTTCCAGTAAGTATTGTTGTCAAGCTGGAGTATGTTCTTTGGATGGGTTAATTTTTAATTTATCAAAAACAAAGTTGTCTGATCTAAGTATTAAGCTCCGGGAAAATCAATTTCTTAAAACTCAGTTGTTCCATCTCTTGAACATGACCAAAAATAATCTAAAACCTGAAAATATACCTCTACTGTCTCTATAGATACCCAGATTTCACTGTGATGTAAATTACTCAACTGAATCCCAGCCTGAAAGCATGACAACACAGAATTTGTGGAAGAAGCCCAACTAGACAAACAAGCTTGTTTGTAGCTATTTATGCTGTTGTAAAAGCAACACACAACCTACTCTGCAATTTGAATGGGGAAATTTTGTTAGACTACCTTGTTATAGTAAACCATCTTTTATAGCAGCAATACTGTTTTAGAATATTGCATTTGCAAAATTAATGTTTAACTTACTCTGAACTCAGTCTTTCTCTGGAGTATAAAATGATCCAGCAGCAGCTGTACTGGAGAGACAATGCTATCAGTCTCAGTATGATATTGTCAGCAGATTTCTCACAGCTTAGTTCTTCCACATTCTATCAAAAAGAGGAAATTGATATTTGAAATGTATTTACAAGGTCAATGCAAAAATCTAAGGGTTCACCGCAGCAATATACACAGTTGAGAACTAGCATTATTATGTAGACCAGGAGTTATGAGGCCTAGATTCCCCTCCTGACTTTTACTCTGTAGAACCTTCAGAAAGTTATTTGATGTCTCTGTTCCTCAATTTTCCCCTCCATAAAATGGGGATAGAATTTATATATTTTGTTGGCATATTTTAAAGTTTACTGAAAAGTATGACATGAAATATTATTATTAATCATTACAATATCTTAACCAACCTATACAAATCACAATATGGATGAATATGGATATAATAGGTTTATGAAGCACAATACGACTAAAAATTACTGTGTAGGAGTTATGTTCTGTTGTAAATATTGATTCATAATTTCATACTCTACTTTTCAATAGCTGTTTTGCCACCTGTAAAGTTTCAGTCCCACCTGTGAATAGACCATTTGATTATAAGGAATCTAAGGAACTTTAATGTAGTACTAAACAACATAAATTGTATATGATCTTGTTTTGTAATTTAACTATTACTTTAGTGCAAGGTCTTGTCTAGACTACTTCCTTTCATATCAAGAAGTTATGTAAATTAATGTTCTGGAAGGGTGTTACAGGGATGCCCCTTGCTGCCCTAGGAGCGGTTAAAGATGGGACGATGATGATGCACATCTGGATCTGCCCAGATCAGGGATGTAATAGCTGGAAAGCTGGCTGTAAGAGTCAGTTACAGGTTGGCTGCTGAATGTAGTGCGTTCATCTATTGTCTTAGGCTGGGAAGGGAGAACAAGACATCTCCCAGTAGAAAGAAAAGAGCTGGTTTCCACAGAGAACTAAGGTTGGAAGGCCTGGAGAGTGCTAGCGACTACAAAGGGCCTGCAGTGGTGAAAGGTAGAAGTGAAGGAGGCTTGTGGATGGGAGGGCTGGAGGGTACAGAGAAAAACAACTAAGAACATTGGAGCTGATAATGGACAGTTGAGAGATGCCTAGATAGCATAACAGCTGAACGTGGGCCCCTGTTGATGGGAGGTAGGAAGCGGGTCTGGGAAGCTGATTAGTGCTGCTGTGTGGATGTGATCAGGTTAGGTCAGGTTTGTGTCAGGTCAGGTTCACCTGCTACCATAATTTACAGTAGACAGTACTACCTACAACTGTTAACACCAAGTGCTGGGCAGTGGTTAAATAGCCTAGCCTCCTCTAGGGCAGGGGTGGGCAAAATGCAGCCTGTGGGCCAGACGCAGCCTGCCAGGCCATTCTATCTGGCCTGTGGGGCCCCTAAATAATTTAGAGAATTAATATTTATCTGCCCCTGGCTGCCTGTCATGCAGCCCTCAATGGCTTGCCAAAACTCAGTAAGTGGTCCTCTGCCCAAAATAATTGCCCGTCCCTGCTCTAGGGCCACTTGTACATGTGATGGGGGTTTAGTTCCCCCTAAGTTGAAACAGTGGGTTTTTAATTGTTACAATTAAATACCCACCATTTAAATTCAGGGGCTTCCATCACTGTTACTGCAATGTGGTTTTTTTTCGTTTTTGTGTAGCTGGCCTGCGGGAGAGGGGAGGGAGTGTGGAAGGCAAGCTACTAGCAGGTCCTGAGCTGCTCAGAGCCAGCACCCGGCCTGCTAGCAGCCTGCCCTGGCAGCCCTGGGGGGGCACCACCACTGTGAATGGAAAGACTGGAGCCCCCTGCAGCTCAGACACTGCCAGCAGCTCGCCCCACAGCCATGGGCAGGCTCTGTCAGATTTAACTAAAAAAAAAGGATCAGGCCTCTCTCTGCCTTTTTTCCCCTGTTGGGGCTTCCAGCACCCTGTGCACTGTCCCCGATGCCTTCCCACTGCCTGGGACCACACAGGAATGGGCTGGCTTGCCTCTGGGGCAGTGCAGGAAGATGATAGGAGGGCAGTTGGGTGTGCTGGAGGCTGGAGAAGGCAGCAGGGACTGTACACAGGGTGCTGGAAGCCTGCCAAGCCCAAGCTACCCTGAGCACACCTGATCTTCCAATGCCCTATGCAGTGTCCCTGCCACCTTCTGTGGCTGCCAGCACACCCAGCCACTTTCCTGCTGCCTCCCTGTGCTGCCCTGGGTGTGCTGGTGGCTGGAGAAGGCAGTGGGCATGGTGCATGGGTTACTAGAAGCCCACGTGGGCTTGAGGATGGATGTACTGCTGCACTTTGTTAGGTAGTAAACTAAAATACATCAGGAAGTGTTTTAGTTTGTTACATAACAAAGTCATTTACATGTCAATACGCCGTCGCATATGTATGATGTGACAATATTAAATTACAATATGCTGCCACATGTGTAATGTGTGATGCAATTAAACTGCTAAAAAGGGCAATTTCATCACATGTACAAGTGCTCTAGGGTGCAAATGGCTTCAGAAAGAAGAGCCACTTAGAAAGGGGAGGTACTAGTCTTATCCCTGGCAGTGAAAATGCCGCCAAAAGGTTGTGAAACTAATCTAGGAATGGTGGCCTGTGAGATGGACAAATGGATGATTTCCTTTGCTCCAGCAGCTCCTGCAGCCAAGCTGGTTCTAAACATACTGGCACCTGTCTTTCCTTTGGATTAAACCTGCAAGGCTGAGAGGGGAATACTGGTATGTGGGTAGCTCAGTGTCTCCATATAAACATCCCAGGCTTTTGCACCCTGGAGAGGTCACTTCAGCTTTGATCTATCTTTCAAGATGTTCAGTGAGGTGATGCCTCATTTGGCTAAATTCTCTTGTCTTGCAAGACAGACAAATACCTACTATGGGGTTATGGGATGAAGCACAGTAGGCAACCCCATAACTAGACAGAGTGTGGGATGTAAGAGAGCAGGATGTGCCTGGATCCTTCTACTGAACCCCAACCAGCATAAAAGATGTTTAAGGGCTGCCTAGTGGTGATGTGAGATCTTGGTGGAGACTGAATGAGGAGTGGCATGCACTGTAAGAGATAAGGACTGCTGGGGTGTTGTGCACCTATGTAAAAAAGCAGTTAAACAGAAAGGACTGTGAGGAAGATAATAGCCTGGTAAGACTGCGAGAGGTCAGAGCCTGGGAAGATACTATATACAAAGGGCCATAGACTAGACAAGCAGGAACACCTGTCTGTCAAAATGTGACAAATGCACATCAAAAAGAGGAGCTAACAACTTGGATGGGCCACAACATGCTTTTAATATAAATCCATTTTTAAAATGTGTGCATTTAAATGCTGTTCAATTTGATTAAAACAATCACTTCAGGGACTGGAGAGTAGACCTGCCAACAGAGACAATGTAGGTGAGCTTGCTGTTGGTCACCTAAAAAACATGTGAGTGGAAAGAAGGTGCAACCTACAAATATGGACTTCCTAGCCCTCTGAATGTTGGAAACTGTAAGGGATGAATGGCAGGGGTCAGATCAGTCTGGATAAGCCCTGCATATATATATTTTCCTATAGTTTGCCACTGTGAGATGCAGGATATTGGGCTTAAATGAACCTGTGGTCTTATCTAAGATGGCATTTCTTATATACTTAATATCAACATTAAATCAACCAATGGATACATTGATGGCATAGATAGAATTTGGATTCACAGAACTCGGGGAATAACTTCTTTGCATAAGTGTTTGTTTGACACTGTCTGGACTTGCAATTTACATGGTTTAAACAGGAACAACTGAACAAGTTAGAAGGGTACAGAGAGTGAACTAAAGGGAAAGATTACAATTTGTGTAAATGTAACTGAGTGTAGAATCTGGCCATATTAGTTGCATTTCCAATTTATAGTTGCATAGTCTGTTTTATACCTGCAAAACTATAGCAGTGTGTTCATCTATTGTCAACACAACATATCGATCTGTGTCTCCAAAGAGCTGTAATGACTCACTGCAACATCTTTCAACAAAAGTGATGTTATACCTGCAGAAATGATATGATTGCTAGATATCCTTTAAGTGAAATTTTGAAATTTTCCTGAAAAAGGAAGGGTTAAATGGAACATTGTTATATAGCATGCTTATTAGATTCTTCAGATAAATAATGTGAATCCATCTTTTTGAGCTTTCCTGAATCCTCAGCTACACTTTAAATTATGACATATTCAAATAACAGGAATCATCCATTTTGATATTACCTTGATGCAGTGGCACAGCCTGTGAGAAAGACACCTTTTTCATGACAAAAATAGCATGCAATGTTGAGGAAGATTAGTAAGTTAAAAAAAAAAAAATCACATGTCCTTTCACAGCATCTGATGAAGTGAGCTTTTGCTCATGAAAGTTTATGCATCTGTTGTTTAGTTAGTCTATAAGGTGCATCTCTACTATGCCCAATGCTGATATTCATGATGCAGCAAATTAAAAATCCTGAACACCTGCTTAATAGTTGTAACTGTATTAGACTGTTCTTGAAATCCAGAACAAAAACCTTTCAACAACATGCTACCCTGATCAATTGCCATTTCCATCTGATTTGGTGCTGTCTATACTCCTTTTCTTTACCACTGTACAGCACAGAGGGAATGAAAGGAATGGAATTCCTCATTAATGACCTTAAATTATCAGGGTGAGGGAAGTGAGCCAACACAACATCCCTCTTTTCCAGTGTCAGTGAAAAGGTTTGAACACGTGCTCAGGGTTATGAAGGAGTCAGGGTAAACCAGTGGTCTCCCACCAGTAGATCCTGATCTACAGGTAGATCCCAGAGCCTCTTTTCGTAGATCTTGGGCTGGGGGAGAGATGGACGCATGTGCATGCACACACTGCCCCTTTGTCCCCCAGGCTCCAGCAGGTCAAACTGTGGGGGAGGGAAGGGGCGGGGGCTGACCATGCAGTTCAGCCAGGAGCAGGGAAAGGTAAGTGGGGCCCCACCAGCCTGGTAGGGTGGTCAGAGGTGTGGAGTCTTCCAGACCCAGGAGCCGGGGTGCGACGCCACATTCATCTGGCCACGGGGTGGGTGCTGCTCAGTGCAGCCGTGGCACAGAAGTGGGATTGGCACAGCCTGGTGGAGGCCTCAGGGCCTTGTGACCCTCTCCTCCCCCTGCCTGTGCTCTGGAGGCCTTGGGGGTGGGGCAGGGGTCAGGGCAGGGGGTGGGGCCCAGGGCAGTGCAGTAGATCCTGGGGTGCCCTTTACTTTCAAAAAGTGATCTTCACCATAAAAAGGTTGGAGACCACTGGGGTAAACTATTAGGGTAGCAGCCAGAGAAAAACTATTCTTGGCATTGCCTTCCAGCAGACGCAGGGGATCTGAAGTTGACTCTGTCAGCAGTGAAGCCCATAGAAAGATGCATCATCTAATATCCAGCACAAAAATCTTATAAAGAACTGAATACTTCATATCTGCTCATTTAAAGCAATGTGACTGGTAAGATGCTGAGAAATTAGAGTTCTTTGTTTATCAGTTTAATTCCCTCAGTAGCAAGAAGACTAGGCAAAAGCAGTAACTGGTCCCTGATTACTCTGCTTGCAGTGAAAATGAACACTAACAGTACAGTCAAAGTAATAAAACTTTAAGTACTAAACATTACATTTATTTCTCTGGACTATTAAACTATTGTTAAAGGCAGATAGGTACAGTTTCACCATTTGCTTTCATTTTGCCTCAGTGTCAAAATTGGCAATGGTTTTCAGTAAGATGGTTAACTCTTACACAATGCTTAGATGGACTACCTTCAATCAAACTTGCAAAAATTATACTTTACTATTTGTTCTGCCAAACCAAGATCAAAAGTCTCTTTTTATCAGCGAGCTTTTTAGACTGTTGAGAAAAGCAAAATGAATATGATTTCTGATAATGAAAATTATACACTCGTACAGTGTACTAGTTGCAAAAATTCACATTTTTTCTGTTTCCAAAACAAAGATATTCAAACACTCATTCAGAATGATATGAACACCAAGTCTTAGCTACACAAAGCAGGTCCTGACTTATTCAATTATAGAAATACCATAATAAAAATTGGTAACATTAGAAAAATTTAATCTTTTCTTTACTATTGTTTTGGGGCGCATGGTTGTATTTTTTTTAAAGCAAAAAACTTATGGAAAATTAAGAGGCAGACATGCCTCCCTTCTAGCTAATACCCATTTATGAAGTTGTACAGCCCAAAAGGTAATTCTTTCTTTTTTTGTGTGTATGAAATGTTTGGCCTCAAGAAAGAACTGAGAATAAATCTATGGTCTCAATATTAATCTCAGACTCTGCTTTGATTTACTATTCCATTAACTGAAGAAAGCCATGAATGCAAGCATAAAATTTGTTGTATTTCCTTTATTAGAGTGTGAACTTTCTAACTTCCGGAATAAATATCCTCGTTGCTAATGAAACTATAGATACCTTAGAAATACCCACAGTGAATAGAATGGATTAACAGATGCATCATAAATAAGGTCAGTTTCACTTACTTGGATTCCAGAAGCTGAAGGATTTCTGGTGAGTTAAGAAGTCCCTCAGATGTAAAAAATACATAGGGAATCTGAGTCTCCAGAAGGAAGGAGCCAAAGTGATTACCTGAAACATTTTCTAAACAAAGAACAGCTTCAAAAAATAGGGAGGCCAGGAAGTCAGTTTTAAGCATTCACAGTGATCTGCCATCTTGACAATGCAGAGCTTTATATATACCCATTAAAATGCTCCTTCTCCCTGTGTGAGTAGGATTTGGGCTTACTTTTTTTTTAAACCCATAATTGGGGATTTTAAATCAGAGAAAACCAGGATCCCTGGTCATGAGCCAATCTGGCCCACAAAGCTAAATTGTAGCCATTATTCTTTACTGGTCTCTTTCATGAACATACATATACAAATATTTTAGAGAATAAATTCCCTTTTTCAGATGAAAGACCAACCTTTTAGTGGAATTCTAGAAGCTTTTACTTACTCATTACAACAGTTTCTGGGAGAGTAGTTTTAAAAGTTATATAAGGAATGTTCAGATTTTTGCAGAGCTTATTCCAGCAAGAGTTCTCTGTATAATCAAACTCCACCACTAGAGAGAAATGAGTCCAAGGGAAGTCAGCTCCGATATGCTGATAATTTACAATAGCACAGGAGCATTTATTTAAACTGAAGGAGAAACAGCAAAAGAAAAAAAAATCCTGTTTTAGTGCGACTACTCTCAGTACAAAATAAAAATTGTTACATTTTGAATAAGAAGAGCCAGTCATTTAAATGCCTATTATGAAATCAGATTTTGCTCTCTGTATTTAAAACATTTAAGTATCTTTTTCTAACTATTTTGCCCATTGCAGTCATCTACAGTAAGGGTTTTATATTTCCTGCCATCATCAGCTGGATATTGGGGTCTTGTGAATTAGATTTTCATGGAAACTTTGTGCAGTGTCACAATCCTATTTCCTTTTTGTCCCCAGTGGATCCTGCATCTGAGAAATGTCAGTGGTTGTTAAGGGAGCATTCATGTGCCTAAAGTTAAGCCTGTACTTAAGTGCTTTATTGACCTGGGGCCAAGATGTTAATCATCTTGCAGAAGAAGGCTGACAAGGCCTAATCCTGAAATTCTTACTCTGGACTTAGATAAAACTCCCACTGAAATGAACAGGAGTGTCAATGATATTACCCTAGGGAGGGGACTTTATGATATGAACTGTGAAAACTATGAATTCTACACACCTGTTAATGACACTTTTGCATTCTAACAAAGCTCCTCTCTTCTCAGGATTCAAATCCATGGTTTTTAAACCTGTTTAGAAGGAATGAAAAACTCAAGAGACTGAGCAGATATTCTGCTGGTATGAACTGACAGATGACAACAAGCAGCAAATGCAGACCAAGTCAGAATGTAATAATTCTCAGGAGCACTGTCTGGGCAACGCAGGCAGTTGTCAATCGTCTCAAGTTTTGCTGGTCTGGCAAACACAGTGACTTATTCTTGGAGCCTTGCAAATTTGTGCCTGTGCCGGAGTGTATTCTAGAGTCTCATAATGTCTGGAGCAAGCGTGCTGCTTAGCTAAGAAATGTTTCTCATTGACTTAAAGTAAGCAAGTAGAGCCTTGTGGAAAGCAAAGGTATTTTATTCTGTTCCTTTTTCATTCCTCTCATGGATATAGAAATATAACCAAAGATATAGCTAACAAGCTGCAGAAGATGAGACACAATGTGTATTCCATATAAAATTCCTCTTTAGTCAGTGTCTCTAGCACATATATTTAACCAACTTGCATCAAGAAGTGTTTATTATTATACTGTGGCAAATATACCCTCCACTTCTTGTTAAAAGGCAGGGGTCTTTTTCTAAAGAATTTATTATATAAGACAAAACAAGAAAGAACAATTCAACAGAATGGCATAGTGAGGGTGGTGTGCAGATCAACCAAGAAACATTTTATGTTAAAAATGGGTTTTAAAGAGTATTACTGAAAGAAGCCCCTGGTAGACTGTTCTGAGGACAAGTGATGTCAAAGGAGGCACAGAAACAGAAGTGGAAAAGAGAATAGGAAGAATGATATAGATGTATGAAAGGAGGCAAGTGGGATGAGATGTACTCAAAGATATAAGAAGAATCAGACTGGGGAACAGTTTTGATGTCTTGACTGTTATACGTAAGAACATGCATAAGCAGCATTTACCTTCTATTGAAGTAAGTATGTCAATGAGGGCAGTCTTTTCACTATCTGAGTCCACTCTTGTTATTATTAAAACCTGTCATAAGGAAGGAAATGAATATTTTAAAAGCTGCCTTTTCAGTTAGTACACTCCTCCCATCCCCTACCTTGCATATATTCTCCAAACTAGGCTCCATAAAAATGTATCCCGTAGAAGTTTTCTGAAGGATAGTTATGGGCCTGCCACTAAAAAAACACTGCATGGATGGGGCTGTGAAAGGAGACTCAGAACCAGGAATAAAAATATTTTTGGAAAAAATCACAAACTTGAATATTTAAACACAAAGGAAAAGCAGTGAAAGATATTACCCGAATTGCAGTTAAGGAAACTAATCCTCACTACAACAACTGGATGGACCATTAAAGGGAATGAGAGCTTCAGACCAGTCCTAAACTGCACACTGAACACTTTGGAAGTTTTGCAGTGGATTTTAAGGGACTTCTGGGAACTCTT